CCTTCTTTTTACTACATGGTAGTTCCCCTTTGAGCTTACTTGGGAATAATTTTAGGTTTACAAAAGTTACAAAGCTAGTAAGACAGAGGCTTCCAGTGTACCCCTCGCTCTGTTCTTCCTGTCCTTAGCACCTTTGTAAAAATGAAGAAACTGACATTGGAATGTCAGTCACTAACTTCCAGATTTGTCTGGATTTCACTCGTTTCTCCATCAGTGTCTTCTTTCTATTCCAGCATCCAACTCAGGCTACCACACTGCATTTCATCATCATGGCGCTGTTTCCTCTGTCTGTGGAGGAGACATCGTTCTCTGACAGTTCTCTCCTGCCGTGGTTTTCCTGCCTTTCTCAAGCTTAGAATTTGTGGGTGTTTCTCATGGTCACACCCAGGTTGTAAGTTCTGGGCAAATGTATATCACAGAGGCGCAGTCATTTTCTGGTGTCACCAGGTGACATCCACATGAACTCACAGTGATGTTGACCTTCATCCCTTGATCAAGGTGGTGTTTGCTGTTAACTATTAATAGTGTTAATAAGTCCAGCCTGCCCTCCACGGGCTATGGGTCACAATTAATCTCCACCTCCTGGGGGAAAGAGTATCTACTTTATTTGGAATTTTTCTTGAAAGATTTGCTTGTTTTCCCCCATTTATTGATCTATTTGTTTACATTAGTATGGACTCAGGATTAGTGATTCCATACTTTTGATTATAACTCAATACCACACTATTTTCTTACTCAAATGATTCTATGTGACCACTAGGAGCGCCCCATCCTTGCGGCTCTATGTTCCTTTCTTTGTTTTCCTATACAAGATGCTTCAGGCATGTTTTCCTTGACCTGATCAGAGAATCATCTATTTTTCCAGGAAGCGCTAGAGAATGGTATTTAGCGACCAGACTATCACTCGGTATGTTTATTGCTACTGAGCTACAGTACTTTTATAAATTTCATGTATTATATTTTTGCTTTCCTTATAGCTAAAGAAAAAGATGCTAATCTTTGTCTCAATTCTAGAATACTCAAAGATCTTAGAGTAAGCCAAATCTCTGCAGCTGCTATTGAGAAGATATATTTTTTAAATCTATTTTTCTGAGTACAAATATACTTAGCATTTCTTCCCAAGGTCACCACTATGCAAGCCATTAATATTTCTTCACAGAGAAGCTTTGTTTTAAATTTTCTTCAGAAAATGGCATGATATTCTTCATTGATAATTCATTGCCAACTCTTGGAGTCAAATGGTCCTCATTCATCTAATTTCTTTTAAAAACGAACTAAGTTTCCCACTATACAAGAAACGGTTTGATGGCTTGTTTTCAATAAGAGAAGCAAAAATCATACACCCCACTGTACCATCACCACCTGCACCTAGAATCTAGTCTGAACTTTCATTTCACTAGCGGAGGGAGTCACAGTCTTTGGCCCTCGTTTGCCGTCTATAAAATGAAGTGCTGGGGTTTGTGCTCCTTTAGGCTTCCAGCAGATGACAGTGGTGACACCGGAGAAGGGGTTCTGTGGGGCTGTAGAAGGACCCATCTGGAAAGCTGATCTGGAGTGGGAAGTGGCTTGTGCGCCTCTGTGCTGGCATATATATAAACAAATCTTCAGCACCGCGGAACCTTCTCCTCTTCCTAGTCTCCTAGGATAGGGAACTTCTGCCTGAGCATTTGAAACTGCTGCCCTCTACTGCACAGAAATAACCCTACAAGGAAGGCTGCAAACGCCTCTGGTCACCAGAGGACACAGCCCCAGGGAGGTGGCTGACTCACAGGAACAGTTTAAAACACAATAAGAAAGTAATGAAAACTCAAACCATAAAAATTTGTGCAAGCAAATACATTCTGCTTCATCATTACCCTCTAGTGTGCTTACTGCAGCCCCCCAGCAGAGGGACAAATTAAGGTAGAATAAGCAATGGCACCAAGGGCTGCTGCCACATTTCAAAGGACTCCAGACAGTTCCAGAAACAAGTCCTCTGAAGTGTCACTGTTGGAAGGACAACAAAATAAGGATAAAAGGATAGAAAGGATAAAATAGTCTATGACAGATATTAAAGGGTATTATGGACCTTTAATTTCATCACCACTTGGACACTCTCATCTCTCTGATTGCTAATACACCCAATAAGCAGAGCAACTAGTCTTGCACATTTGCTCTCTGCAGGGGTCAACTTTTCAAATTCCACCTGCAACCCAAGACATAAATCATCAAGTCTGTGGTTGTTTTCTTCTCAACCCCCTAGAAGCAAGTTATCAAGAATTCCCCATTCATTTCCCAACAATCCAATAAATAGGATTGGGTGGAATTTAGTGTCCTCAGGCCCTTGACTGCAAAGAGACTGCTTGAGCCACAGCAAATACAGCCAAAATACACTTCCCCCTCAGTATGTCTTTTACGAGCAGTGGACAGATGTGTGCTTAGAATATAATAAAGGGAAGTGAAAGAGTATGAGAAAAACGTTTCCACTGAAACGAATATGCTTAGCTAAATATAGGCCAGTTTTTCTCTCAAATGTTAATTGGTAATTCCCAGAATTGCTCTTTGCTTTTCCCTACAAACACACACACACACTTTCCTATAAATAAAGAGGAAATGTAGCTGAGGCTGAAAAACAGTAATTGGCTTGGGCTGGTGTTGCATAATGTTGTGCTTCCTGATTGTATTGTGAAGCAGGCCTTGGCGAAGGCCATCCATTATGGATTCTGTCTCGTGTCTTTTTCACTTAGGAGGCCTTCTTTGAGACTGGAGATAGAGCCAGTCTCTTACCAAGATGCCATTCATTAAAACTGCTAATTGTAAAGTTTACCGAAAACGATTGCTCTCCTTTTGTTTTCAGCTTTTCCCATTCCTTTTCATCCTGATAGCTTAAGAACAGCAGCACACAATTATCTCATTTCTTTATCCTTCCACAAGTTAAAGCTAGTGCTGGTAAATCAGTAATTTTCAAAATGCTGTTGGGATAATAAAGTATAGTAGGAAACAGATAACAAAGTGATTAAAAGCAGGACTTTAGAGTTCTTGGATTTCAATCTTGTAGAGTCCCCTACTAAGTTATGGAATCTTAAGTAAGCTGTTTAGACATTCTCCTTGACCAGAAAATTATTTTAAAATGTATTTACAACTTCAAAATATATAGACTAAGATACCTATTTTTTTCTGTTTAATTGAGCTATATAACATCAAAGAATACAGTGAATAAATGGTAATGTTCAGCTGGATGAATTTTTACTTATAGACCATCTATAACTACTGTTGGCCTCAAATACAGAAGTTTCATCACTCAGCAGCCTCCCTTGTGCTTCTAGCTCAGTAGATAATTTGTACCATAAATATTACTATTCTGACATTTTCCTCCGTAGATTCTTGACCACCATGTAAGTGGAATACAGTATGTGGTATAGTATATAGTATGTGTTCTTTGTGCATTAACTCCTTTTCCCCAACATTATTGCTAAATTTATGTTTAAGTTTTCAAGACACTGCCAAACCATTTTCCAACATAGCAGCACCCGTTTATATTAGCACCAGCAATGTGTGAGCATTGTACATCCTTGCCAATGTGGTGTGGATGGCCTTTAATTCTAATAGGCATGTCATGTGCCTTCTCACTTTGGTTTTAGTTTCTATTTCCCTGTTGATTATGATATTGAGCATCTTTTTTTTTTCAAAGAATAAAAAAATTGCATTTCAAAATGTAAACAGAAAGCAATTGAAAAGTAAAATATGAAAAACACCAATAACATAAAAATACAAACATGAGAATATTTAACATAAGATGCATGATGATGCTGAGCATCTTTTCATGTGCTTGTTTGGTACCAATATGTTTTCCGAGTGAAAGATCTGTTCATATCTTTTGTCCACTTTTTAAAATTAGACTGGCTTTTTATTTATGAGTTTTGAGAGTTCTGATGTCATTTGGAGACCCAAGAAAGAGCCACTTTTGTGATTCAAGTTCCAAGATATCTGCAGGCAGTTTCATGTTGTTTGTGTTGTCTCAGGGCCTTCAATTGATTGGATGAATCCCACCTACCTTATCAAGGGAAACCTACTCAAAGTCCAAAGACTTAAATGTTAATCTGCTCAAATATACCTTAACAGAAATATCCAAAACTGTTTTTCCAAAATGTATAAAATAGAATTCTAAATAAAAAAAATGTACTTTTAAGTGTAAATACCTAGTATTACATCCAATATGGAGGGATTTAAAGTAACTCAGTGGAGTTGTGGGGGTGGGATTCAAATGAAATAGGATTAACCAATGTTCCTTGTTTTCTCTACTATTTTGTATGTTTGAAATTCACTGTTTTTCATAATCACAAATCAGTCATCAAGACCAGATGATTTTGTCAGACAAGTACGGTAGGCAGTGAGAAATCAGGACGGGAAAGTATATAATGCTAAAGCTGGCACCAGAGTTTGAGGTCACACCAAAGATGGTTTCTTCTGGTTCCATTCTGTTTGGTCACATTTGATTCTTTTATACATTACAGGTTTCCCCACTATCTAAAAGTCAGAACATTCCTATGAAACCTTTCTAATCAAAATGGCATAAAGCAAAGAAGCAATATTATTAATTTATATGAAAACATTTTTTAATACTTCTGGACCCAAAAAAATAGCCTACTAAATGACAGCAAACCTAGAATGACACCCACACTGAGGAAAGGCAGGAAAGTGATGATACCCAGACTACAGGATGATCAGGGAAGGGACTTGCTGGGGTGACTAACACTCAAGATGCCACTGCTTCTGCAGCTGCTACCGCAAAAGCAAGCCCGATACCATTTTTGCTTTTCCCCTTCTGTCATAAAAGCAAAATCCTCTTTGGATTTCTTTCTGTTAGTAAAAAAGTTATCAATGTAGGTCTTTCCTGAAAGTGAAAGTATGTCAAACAAACTTTCAAACAGCAGGAGCTACCTAATACCATGAAGCTCTAAATTCTCTAAGTTTCCAATGGAAATTTCATCAAGGTACAACTGACACTCCAGAGACAAAAAGAAGTTTATTTTACTGTCCAATTATTTTCTTTAAAAAGTTTAATTTTTGATAAAATAAAACAAAGTTTTAGTACCATAGAAACCTTTGACATGTACAATGGCATAGTATCACTATGTACAACTTCAAAAGCAAATGCTTCCAGTTCCAAGTAAAGTAATGTCAAACTGACTATACTTAAGCTGAAGAAAATTTCCTGGTGAGCCAATGGGTTTCCTTGGCCTGGGGGCTGGGGACAGGGCAGAGGAATCATACAGTTGATAAATATAAATAGTGTTCAATGAATTGAGAACCATAAAAATGCTTCTGAAGTTCAGTCATCTGGATCTGAGGGAATATGTAGCAGTTACAAGAGGTCAACAAATAAAATAAAACCCTGTGCATATTCAAACTCGAGTATTCCAGGAGAGGTCCTGTAGGTTCACAGTCGGGATATCAAAAATAAAAGCTATTCCTGTGTTAGTGAGACTTGGTATCTGACTCATATACCATTCTTCACCAGCTCATGGACTCCATTCTCATCAATGATTAAAGGTGCATGGAATTCTTTATCTGCCACGTAACTTTCTATCCCCTAGAAGAAGGGTTAAAATAAAACACAAGTTATACAACATAGGGCTTAGCGTCTATACTGACTTAAAAGCTGAGTAACAGAAGTTGGGTTGAGATATAGAATTTGAAAGCCTATAAAATCTATTTAGTATATTTTTAAACTGGGGCTTAATAAGCTATTAATAGAAGCATAAAAATACAAAAAGGAAGTATAATTCTGATCATATCATATCACAATGCCTAAAGTTAATGAGATAGCCATTCTTCTTACAATCATCAACCAAGTTAACTTTCTAATCAAGGTGGTTATCATTTCTAATGCTCCAAGTAAGCCACCTGACAAGGTCCTCCGGAAGAAATATTACATATTTGAATAGTAGGAACTCCTATATACCCCCAGTCTTAAAAGTAAGAATACTAAGCAGCATCAAAAAAGATAAACTCATGCCTTTTGCAGCAGCATGGATGGAGCTGGAAGGGATCATGCTTAGTGAAATAAGTTAGAAAAAAAAAAGAAAAATACCGATGGTTTCACTCAGCAGGAGTATAAAGGACTGGAGGTAGAGGTGGGATAGAGGAATAATAATGAGCAACTATATACCAGACACATTTTATGGCGGTGGAGTGGGGAATGGAATCAGAAAGGGGGTAGGGGATAGGGAGAAGTGCATGGGACCATGATGATGGAACACTGATAATTTGGTGATGGGAAGCCCACAGGGATAACAACTGAGATGGAAAAGGCACTAAATGATGTAAAAATAAACTATAATAATAATAAAAAAGAGTTCTAAGTATAAAGAACAAAATTAAATTGCATCCAAAAAAGTCAGATGGTCTATCTAAAAATCAAGGCTGATTTTTTGTAAGTTCATGCAGTTCAATGTATAAGTGAAATGAATTAAACACTAAACATTCTGTGGAACAGCTCTAGAGTGCTAACAGGAATTCTCAAGAGAAAGACTCAGAACCATGCTGTTTCTCAGTTAATTCCCCAGAGAAATGCCTCAGGGCAAGGTCATTGGAAAATGTGGCATCTTCTCTAAGGGCAACGCTACATTAAAAAGAGTATCAGAATCTTTCTTTTAAAAGAACAGAGAAAAAGCCAAGCAAACTTACTTCTCCAGCATAGGAGACAAGAGGAGAGATTTCACACTGGATCGGTACATCATTGGCATCCTTCAAGCTAAGGAAAAAAGCATGTGTTAAAGATCTCTCTGCCCATGTTACCTGTCAGACTTTAAATATAGACCATAACTTTCCTTGGAGAAGCTTGCAGTTAACATTATTCTAGATAAACAAACAGTATACAGCCTACCCTGATGATCACTAAGTCTCTAAACAACATGAAATCCTCAAGGTCCAAGAGACACTAATTGAAGCAAGTACTCCTCAGAGCACTTCCTCAAGATCAGTATGTTTACCTCCTAATGCACGTCTCATTTCTTTATCATTTACAAGTTACAATTTATAATTTGTTATTGAGTATAAACTATGTCCTATACCTACTGCTAGATGCTTGGAATCCTTCATACTTTAATTCTCACCGTAACTTGGTCAGAATTACAAACTAAAGTTGACAAACACTCTAAAGCTGCACTGTCCAGTTCAGTGTCACTAGGTATTGGTGCTTAAACAAATAAACTTTAAATGTGCTGGTAATAACGATATTTTAAGTTCTTAGCAGCCATAGATAGCTAATGATAACCAACTCAAATAGCACAAATATACACCCTTTCTTTCCCTGCAAAACTCCTATTGGACAGTAGTTCTTAAGGTCAGTTAAACTATTTTCAATACATGTCCTTCTGTATAGCCAAATCTCCAGGTGAGCTGATTGTTCAAGGTTTCAAAGTGCCTGCCTCTCTAGTATGTTCACCATGTGCCTTTCTAGAGTTAAAGCAGAAGGCACCCAAGTGAGCATGAGGCCAAAGTCAACATTGCTTCCCCGAGGTCAGATTCTAACATGTACAGCCACCTACAATACTGAGTTTCTATATTATTTTTCTCAAAACTCAAGTTTTTAAGATGTTTAAAGTCACAAATCACAGCTAGCCTTTGTTTTACCAAATGTGTGGCCAGAAGCTTCAATAGCACGAATAAGTCTGAGGGCCTCTGAGTTCAGCCATGACCAGCTTCCTCTGAATAGAATTGTTAGGCCAGCAGGAGACTCTACATCCTACAACTTACTTGCCCTCCCAGTGTCCCCTTGAGCCAAGACCACTGCACCCAGTATGGATCATTCACCACTATCCAAAATCATACCCTTTTGAAGATTTAGCTCAAGCCCCAGCTTTCTCTGGACCACTGTATTTCATGTTGATTGCTCTTAATAGCTTATTTTAAAACAGTAAATGTATTAAGATACCAGTACTCCCTGCTTCTGAGAGTAATTATGATTTTTACCATACATAGCCTATTTTTTAATTTATCTGTTCTCTGATATTGTCTGTTATTTGTCTACACTCATAGCTTATTTATTCATTCAGCCAACAAGCTTTTTTGTAGCCTACCCACAGACCTGTAAGTTTACAAGGCCTGATGTTATTTAACTTTTACATGTACAACCTGAGGCTCCCAACAGACTCTAAGAAAAGATGTACTTTTCTAAAAGAAGCTACTTCAGCACTTACAGGTCTGTGGGTAGGCTACAAAAAAGCTTGTTGGCTGAATGAATAAATAAGCTATGAGTGTAGACAAATAACAGACAATATCAGAGAACAGATAAATTAAAAAATAGGCTATGTATTCCCTCCAGATTGGTGCCAAACTATATCCAAAGGACTGAAGCTGGTCCAGACCCTCTGCAACAGCTCAGGGTCCTTTTAATCTGACAGACAAGTAAGGCCTATTCCACCGATAAGACATAGGCCCATCCTACCTGAGCCCGAGGGAGTTGGCTATGCCTAAATCAGAAGATGCTTTGAACCTGAGGAACACATGGCTGACATTAAGTATAACTTCTCTGTTAGTACCTCAAGGATATGCCAAGAAACTAAGAAAGTGGACTTCAATAACTAAAGTGCGATACTTTAGAGAGGGAAAGACAGAAACTGCCCTCACTGAATAAAAAACCTCAAGACTGCCCATTAGCCCAGTAACAGCGTGGTCCCCCAACAGCTTTGTGGTGGCTGACACTTAGTAAGGTGAAAGAGAAAAATGTCACTTTGTCAAAGGATGCTTTCTTCTTTACAGAATACCTCAAAGCTGCTCCTTTCTCTTTTATACAAACACTTCTTTTCATCTCTTACTTTTAGGTAATCTTGTTCTACTCCCTGAGGTTACCCTTAGTGCTAAGTATTTCCACAGGAACTTTCCAAATTATTATCTCATTTAGGGCCAAACTTTGATTTCAGACTAACTATTTTACAAATAGCTAAAATGAGCAAATGGTAGGGATGAAAGCACTAAATAAAAAACTCAAATAAGAATGAAAAGTTCTAAATGTTTTGTATTTAACTGAGATGGCGGGATGTTAATTTCAGTTGTAAAATGAAGAAATGATTTCACTTTTCAGATTAAAATCTGTGGTTCAATGAGAAAGGTGAAAATTTATTATTATTAGGGCAAATGTATTAAATTATAAAAGCAGTTTGCTTCTACGTATTAGAAATGATGTGTAAGAGAAAATCACAAAGGGCCCTGCATACCAGTCCCCACAGCATGAGAAACAAGTCACAAAACTCTGAGTCTAGGTCCTGGGAAGCGACACTGACACTTATAGGGACTTGTCTCCAGTGGCACAGACGAAACACACTGCTATCCTATCCTGAGATAATTCCCATCTCCAGATCCTCTACCCTGTACACACATTCCAAAAATTTAAAATTCAATCTGAACCAAATAACTTTTGAAGTACCATGAGATTATCAAGCTGTCTCTTTAGCTGAAAGATAATGGCTTGATCAAACTCTGCCAATGCAGAGGATATGTGCTATTCTAGCTAGAAACTATCTATCATTAAGACAAAAAGTGACCATCTTTAGAAGCAGAATCATAATGGACCAAAATTAACACAGATAGGTCAAAGAGGGGAGCTTTTAGTATGAGAATATCAAAAGAATAATTTTCAGCACATTAAGTGCCATCAACTATGTCAGGAGCAGTTAAGCCTTTATACTGAGAGTCCCTATTCAATTCTTAACATCTTCATAATGGTACTTTTATCTCGCTTTTGCATATGTAATAAAGGGTACACTGGGTTCCACATTTTCATCTCCAGGACTGTAACATACTCTAAATCTTACCTACCCTTGTAAAACTGTCAACGCAGGCTCAAATACCTAGAGTCAGACTCTTTAGTAAGCATGCTCCCCATTTCCACCATGCACTGAGATTCTGAGTTAGTGTCACCCAGACAGAGCTCTGCCACCAAGCAGTACACCCACCAACACTTCACCATCCCCCCAAGACCAAACGCAGAGCACTAAACTACAATGCCAGTTAGTAGGAGGGAAGCACAGCCCCATCACCATGCACTGCAGACAGGCTGGTATATTTACTTGTGATTGACATCAGCTGGGATGGTCTCTGACTTCCCATTTGTAGCACTGCTATGTAGGAATAAATAAGCATTAATGGGAATGGAAACAAATCAAACAGTAACAATGAAGTGGAATTGCAAAATATATGTGACTAAATGCATGTACATAGGCTAAATTATAAACTTGGCAAAGGTGATCTGAGAGATAAACAACAAAAGCAATGGCCAAAGATGAAGCGTGAGGACCTGCCACAGAGCAAGTCTGCCGACAAGACAGACCTGTAGGTGGCCTTGGACTGTGAGACAGTGTCCTGTCCTACTGCGCCTCCTCCTAAAATGCACATTCCCTAGTAACTTCCAATGCCCAGTGTCTAGCACTTACCAAGGCTTTCTAGTGTTTTTGTCATGCAACTGGTCATTGTATCCAACAGCCAAAAAGAAAAAGAAAAATACCAGATGGTTTCACTCATAGCAAGAGTGTGAAGGATTGGGGGAATATATATATATATATATACACACATATATATACACATATATAGTATATATAGTAATTGTAATAAAGTGAAAAGAACATCAACTAACAACTATAAACCAGAGATATCCTCTGGGGAAGGAGAGAGGAACAAGATCTTTATGGGAGTGGTAAGAGCACACAGGACTATGGTGATGGCACACGGGTGAAGAGGTGGTGGGAAGTCCATGGGGATTACAACTGAGATGAAAAAAAGTACAAAATGAAGAATAATGTAAAAAATATATTTATAAAATGAAAAAAGCATAAAAAATAGAAATATAAATTTATATGGCAGAATTTTTTTTTTCTAACCTAAGTACAGAAATATCAAATGACTTAGAAGGGCGATGCTCTAGGTGCTTTTCATAACATTAAATATTTTACATAAAGTGCTTTTTCTCAGATTTGAATAGCCACTAGTAAGATATTTTGTTTAAACTTCTAAGAACCCAAAGTATTTCTAAAGCTTGAATATCACTGGAAGGAGCAACACTCACTTCCTTGCCAGCACCTCCCTCAGAGCCCTGCGTGTCCCAGTGGAAAGGTCTGGTGGGTTTACATCTTGCAGACAAGACTATCAGTGGTGGGTCTCTTGGAAATCTCATAGGTAAGTGTCAGCAGTGCCCAGTCCTCACAGCTGTGCTGTTTACACCACAGGAACAAAGGCAGGGTCGTTGCTGATGGGCTTTAATCATATGGTGCAGCAGAAGAATCACCTTCTCACCATTATTCAGTAGGAATAACCCACTGATAAGATGGAGCTGTAGCCAGACAAGAAATTTGGAATTGATTCCTCTTTAAGAAGTAAAGCTATCATTTTCTTGTGATGGGCAAAACTTAAGTCAGAAGCTGCCTATATCAACATTTGTGTTTGTTCTTTCAGAAAGTTCTAGGAATTAATACATTACAAAGAGGAAAAAGAAGTGCAAGAGGAAAAACTAAGGAAGGATTTACATACAAAAAGAAATACTGACTTACCGGGGAATTGCTGGAAGGCGAGACCCATTTTCATCTATGAAGTGGCCCCCTGCATTGAGGACCCAACAATGGTGAAGGGACATCAAAGCATGCCTTGCGGTGGTGGGGTTGTCCTTCCCATTCTGGCTGTCTGCATTCTTCAGTGGGGAAAACTCATCTTCCCGTAATACTTCATACACCACAAACTTCCTAGAGAGGAGCCATAGAAAGGCTGCTGTATAATGGAATAAAACTGCAGACACAGCTCTTACTCCTCTCCTCAGAGCCAGGCCTGTAGTCATCAATAACTGTCTTAATCCAATTTTATGTGAATGCTGAAAGAAATACCACTCATCTCTGGACTACATAAAGTTAGAATTCTCCAATGCAAAATGAGAAATATCTTACACCCCCACCTATAAAACCCTTCATCTTGCTCAGAAGCATAAATCTTAAAACAAAAAATTAGATCACCTTAGCTGTCCTAGGGAGGAAATAAAAAAAACAGGCAGAGACAGCTTATAAGTATATATGGATGAGACTCTTACACAGCTTGCTTGTCTTCTGCATTTTCATATTGTTCTAATTTTGTAACATGTCTTTCAACATCAAACACGAACTTTTATAGAGAACTATATAATCTAAAAGCATGCCATAGAAACATTACTCATCAGTAAGACATCCTAAAACCCAAGATGGGCCAATTCCAATTCTTTATCTCAACTTCTTTATACTAGATAGTGTTGATGAATTAAGACTACATACTTTCAATCAAAATGACTGGACTTAATGTGCTATCAAACGTTTCCTGAAAACAGCTTTGCCTAAAAAGAGTACAAAGCAACCCTTCAAGACATACATCTAATTATACTGGTGCCATTCAAAACATACTTTGCAAACTGGAAGATGTCAAAAACAAATTTTTCCATCTTTATTCCATTTGGTTTGTCTGGTTTAATTAACTGCCCCTGGGAATCCACATATGGAATCTTCTTTTGAGCCACATGGTGCTGCAACTGAGGCTCATAAACACTAAGGAGGAAAAAAATAATAATCACTTTCCAAATTTAAAAAACAGAAAATCTGATAATCATACTCAGGTGTAAAAGCATCAACTACCAGTACTAAGATTTTCAAAGCAAAGGAATTTAAGTTTTAGTTCATATTTGAATGTACAGTAGATTTCTCTATTTCCTTAAGTTAAAAAAATCAAATAATGATTTATTGTTTTAAATATTTATATTAAATTTTAATACATATACATACCAAACTCACATTAATGTCCCACCTAAAATTTCTAGGTCTTTTATATGATAGTCCTCTCTTTGCCTAATTTTCCCAAGTGGGATCCCTTCAAGCATAGACTGACAACATGAATAATAATAATTACTATGAATGAATTAATAACACAGCCACAACCAGCAGAATAGGAATTATATTTGTACTGGAGTTGATTAGTTTCTAAAGCAAAGATGAGCAATGTTTTAAAGAGTTAACAGTCATCTTTAAATGTGCAAAGGCTATCAAGTGAAGCCTCAGTGGGAATACCCCTCATTTAAGAGTAGGTATAAACAGTTCCTTTACCCTTAGTAGCACTCCCATGCTTATTTCACCCAGGTCTTAAGTTATTTTTTCTTTATTTTCCAATGCACTAGTTCCTAAATATTAATCTAGGAACCAGCTGAATTAAGTAGTGTGGGAAGCAATCTAATAATACAGATGCCCTGTTGCCACCTACAGAAATTCTGATTTCAGATGTCAGGTAGACATCTTCATATTTTTTAAAGTTTCCAACTGTGATAGAGAAAGCATTTAATATCTTACACTTTGCTTCATGAGATCCAAACACAGCTGAAGGGAGCAGAGAGAAAAGGAAGAAATGTTTTGTTTGGACTTCAGATAATGTACTGGGAATGGGACCTTTGATGCTAAACCTGTGCTGTAGCTTATTAAACACAACTAAAAGGAGAGATAAAATCCACTTGATAAAGGTGATCCTCGGGAAACATGATGAATGCTGTAGGATATGAACTTGGGGTGTCTGCCTACCTCTCAAGTGACTTAGTTTCTGATTATTAAAAGTAAAAAGTAAAAAGCCCCCATCTTGTCCATACTTGACAACATCTCTCAAAAACGGGACAGTGAAGAAGTGGTTGGCAATGTTCCCAGCATTGAACAGCAGTCGTCCATCTGAGCTCCGTTTCTGGGCAGTTGCCAGAGAAATTTCGCTGTACTCCACTACTTGGTATACTCCGTCCACTCGGCAAACCACTCCAACTGGCTCTGTAGGGTTCGTTTTCTCTACCACCTACTCACAAAAGGAAAAAAAACAGAAAAGGAAGACGTTTAACCAGTGTTACACTGGAGGTCTGTCATTTTTAAAGGCTGCATTTACAATTTTGCTTACATTGTCCTTAAGTCAAGTGAAATCTTTAACCTTAGACAAAGACCTAGTCATCTTAATATTCTTTGACATACGTATTCATACATACAAATGAGGTAGATTGTTTCCTTCCTATTTATTGTCTGACTTTAACATAAGATGGATAAGAAATTCCATTACACCTCACAGTGGACTGGGAATAATTAAATGAGGAGTTTATATTCCCCAAATCTCTTTTATTTTTATCTATTTATCTTTAATCACACTCAATTACTCTGAGAATAACTGAAATTCATGAGACAATGTCTCATTTTCTACTGCCCAAATCATTACTTCATTGAAAAAAGTACAGAATATTACTTGTTTTCTAAGATATGGCTTGGAGGTAGGAGTATTAAGGTAGGCAGGTCATGGGATTCCCACTGACGCTCCAACCAGGGAAGTTCACTCCTATTTATCTGCTGCATAAAGTAGGTTTTTGTTTCAAGTAAGATAGTCTATGCTTTTTTAAAAAGTGTGAAAGCCAATGATTTGAAAATCCATCGATGGGTCTAGGCTGGTGTCCCCAGACTAGAAAAAAGATGTATACTGAGCCTGAGGAAAAATGTAAGATAATGTAATTATTCTGAAAATCTCAGAGGTGAGCCTGATACCTCAACATCCTAATCCCATGTATCAGAGCCCTAAATTAAGTGCTTAAAAGGAAATTACCAAAGAACTCCATATGACACACTAATATATAATCAAAGTTAAGATGAATATTCAATAGAGAAACAAACAATAAAAACTACTTGAAGACACTGTTTTATTTGTCTTGGTCAATTAACAATTCAGTATACTTCAGAATATTCAGAAAAAAATTTACCCCAGTTTGAAAAGTCTATCCTAAATATACATGACATCAATAAAGTTAAAAATCTTTCTTCAGCAACTGATTTATCAAAATAAACACAGTAGATGTTTCTTTCAGACCTGTAAAAGCACCATTGAGAAGCTGGTTTATGCAGCAATTACAGATACAGGCAGCTAGTTAGCTCTGAGGCAGGGCTGCAGGGCTACAGGGCTACCAGCAAGCAGCCCACTGTGTAGCTTCACTGTCTGCCCTCCTGAAAGAAGCACAGTATTCAGGGGGAAAAAACTCTGTACGAAGCAACTGAAACAAATTGGAGGGAAACATTATACAACAAAATTATTTAAGTCAGCTATGGGCCTTTTTGCAATTCCCATTTATCAATTCATTACCACCTTCACTTCATATATGCTATGGTACATATCCTCTGAGGCAGAGATTTTAGGGTAGATTCCTCTCAATCCATTAAACACACACACACACGGTTCACTTTCCAATCACCTCTATATATCCCTACTCCCAACCAGTCAATGGAAAATAAAAAAAGCAGATTCATATCTGTCATTGCACAAGTGTTAAATTGCCAATGAAAGGATTACATCTATGACACTTTGCACCTCCAAATACATAAAAGTCTAGATTATAATAGAAAACAGTTATAAACTACACTAGGTTGGGGTCAATTTATAAATATATACAGTGCAAAATAGAGATATATTCAGTTTTCCACAAGTTAAATCCTGAAAAGTTGAGTTCAAAATAATATTTGAGCCTCAAAGTTAATATAGTTGTTTTCCAAACTGGTTTTTAATTAACAATAGTTCCTACCTTTTACCTTTGTACTTTTGCAAATTACTGGCTCTTTGAGAAATTTTTTCTCAGGGCTCTCTGGCCATAAAAATATGTAATTTGCCGAGACAAAAGTCCATTAAAGAAGTACTACAAAGAATTCTACTACCACACTATGAATCACTCCTTAATTTAGTTGCTTTTAAATACATATTTTAATATCTTGAGTCTTTATTAAAATAAAAAAATAAGAGAGCAGATTATATAATTATAGTTTCTATTTATCCTAAAAGTTTTTTTTTAAGATTTATTTATGCATACATAATTGGGGTATAGGCCAGAGGTGCGGGGGGTGAGAGAATTCACCAGAGACAGTGGGGAGTAGAACAGGCAGACTGACAAAGTACACTGCTGAGGAGAGCAGCGGGTGGTTCTGGAGAGGTCTGTCGCACCATGTGGGTCACCTCTGGGGCCAGGGATCAAACTCACACTGAAGCGGCTGTGGCTAGCTTGAAGTGCTGTGTCCTAACCTGTTGCGCCACCAGGGAGGGCCTAAAGGTTTTTAAAATATATCAGCCCAGTCATATTTCAGTTCCCTCAAAATATTTATTCATTCACACAATGAGTGATACTTTATTATAAGCCCCAGAGTCACCATGGCTGAGAATGAATTTGTCCCAGAGGACCTCTGGCAGAGAATGATAGGTTATAGTTACACTGTACCTCTGTGTGGTAAGTACACTCAACAGTTAGTTAACCAATGTAAAGATTCTTGACAGGAAAAAAAACTCTACCCATTAAGCTAAAGAGTTTGATTTTGTAATGTGATATAATATTAACATAATGAATTCTAATCCTGGTAATACTAATGTGATGGGAACCTTGGTACAGGAACTTAATTAGCAATAGAACTCAGGCTGCCCATTTCTCTCACTGCTGAGGTCCAAGTTACTAGGTAATTTCTGAGTCCCCTTCCAGGTTCAACAATTCTATCATATAGAATTTAAAATGTTTCTAAAACTCAGCAAAAAATGAAAGTTTCTGTTTTATAACAAAGAGTGACATCAAGGAGAACAAAGTCAGAAATGTTTTTTTTTTTAAGATTAGACACTATTTACAGCCCAATACACTATTACTATCAGTAGTTAATACAATGCAATATAGATACTCAGACTATTGGACAGAGGTCTTATGTCATTCCTTAATTCTAGAATCAAGTGGAATCTTATTAGGTCTATCAGCTTAGTTTCTGAAAACTTTAGACAAGCAAATTTAAGACTCAGCTTCTGTCTATGAGTTTGTACTTATATTTATAGATTAATTTTGAGAGATACAACCCTTTTATCAAGGAAATATCCAGCCAAAGGTATAACATGTATTTAATGGCAGGATTCTTCTTAAATCCTGGTATTTCAAATTTGTATGCAATCCATTTTTTTACCCAAAGCTTCTATTTTTTTGCTTTTGGCAAAAAAGGTCTTCTTTTAAGGTATATATTATAAAATCATTCTAAATTTTAGTCTAACATTCATTTTTTAATATTTAACTTTATAATTCATCTGTAATTAATTTTGGTATAAATGTTGGATAAAAGATATTTATTTTTAGGCAGTTATCTTTATTCTATATCTTTATACAATACATTTTTATGTACAAAGATTTTGCTTGTGACTGTTCTACTCTGTGTCCCTAATCTGACATTCTATTCTGGTTTCCAGACTATCCTTCTAGTTACTTTTTATTTAAATTCATTTTGATTTCTCCTGTCTCCACCACACTTTCCTCCTTAAGATCAACATTTACCAACATTTTCCTATCCATCTTTATAATCATTTTGTCAAATGTCCCCAAAATAATCTCATTGGAATGTTGATAAGAACTTTGCTTTAATTTTGGGGAAAGTGATGCTTTTAAGGATTTCCTGGAAAGTAATATTTACTTATATTAATATTCCTAAATTTTCCAGTGTTTTCTAGGTCTTTCACATTTCCTGTTTATTTTATTCCACAATATGTGTTTTGCTTGCTACCATAAAAGTATGTCTCCTGGGCCCTCCCTGGTGGCGCAGCGGGTTAAAGCACTGCACTAAGAAGCTAAAGACACTTCCGCATGAGTTCGATTCCCACCTGCCCCGGAGGCGACCACATGGCATGGCAGACCTCTCCTGACCTGCCCACTGCTCCCCTCAGCAGTGTACTTGGTCGATCTGCCTGTTCTGCTCCCCGCTCTGTCTCTGGTGAATTCTCTCACCCTCCTCATCTCTGGCCTGTACCCCAGTTCTGTACAAATAAATAAATAAATCTTTTTAAAAAATTAAAAAAAAAAGTATGTCTCCTATATTATCATCTATGCAACTAAAAAATGTTGAAAAGAACATTATCAAGGTCAGAAACTTGCTATATGACATTACAAACCTCCCTGCATCTTAACGTCAGTTTACCTGTGGACATTCAAGCAGCTGTCAATCTCTTTAAATTGTGCTTATCTCCAATTGATTTCCTCCTTATTCATGAGACTATCATGAGAGAGCCTGTCAAAGGCCGCCCAAAGTCTAAATCTGCCATTTCTTTTTTAAGATTTTATTTATTTATGCATACAAGAACTAGAGTATAGGCCAGAGTTGGGGGGGTGAGATTGTTCACCAGAGACAGAATAGGGAGCAGTGACTGAAATACACTGATGAGAGGAGCAGCGGGCAGGTCAGGAGAGGTTTGCTGTGCCATGTGGATCACCACCCTGGCCAGACTCAAACTCATGCTACAGTGGCTGGGGATCACTTCATAGTGCTGTGCTTAAACCTGTTGCGCCACCAGGGAGGGTCCTAAATCTGTTATTTCTACAATATTTCTTGTACCTGCTTCTCCAGTAACTTTGTCATAGGAAATAACTAGGTTAATCTGATGAAATAACAACTTGGTATTAGTGAATCCACTGCAGATCTAATGATGTCACTTTCACTTTCTCAGCTACAAATCATCCTCACGTAGTTTAATCTCTTACTTGTAATGGATAAATGTACATTATTTCTAGAATCAAATGCTACCAGCTTATGGGAAAAAAGCACATATGGTGTAGCTAGCTTAGTGACTTTAAAGAGATGAATGGTTACAAAATATTTAGATCACCCTAACAGGTCAGTTTGACTCCTGGAATGTATAGGTGTCAGGGAAATATGAGGTTAAAGCATTGCTGTAGTTGAGAAGAGCATTACCTTGGCTCCACAGTCAGCTCCTTTCTGAATGCAAAACCCAATGAACCGGGGGTCTGCTACTTTTACCAGGATGTTGTCAACACAGTAGACATGAATGCTCCAGATGCCTCTCTGCTCCATATCTTCCACAATATTGTGAGCTGCCAGAGCTCTATAAAGACCACCGTTTCCATCTAGGTCAAAGAAAACAACCATTAGCAGCACACCAAAATCCATTGTGAAGGTTCCAAACTAAAGAGTTCTGCAAACCAGTTTCACATCACAGAGCCAAAATGAAAGATTCAGGTGTCAAAAAAGTATATTACATGGTTTTAAAGGTAATTAAGCTTAAGTATGCACATAATAATCCTATTAATGTGGGACCAGGCAACCCCAAAGGCCAGGCTTTTCTTTTTAACTCAACCCTTCTAACAAGATAGATTTGTGAATACAAGTTGTTATTATGCAATGCTTATTTCATAACATTTGAAGTTATTATTAACATTTGTTTGGTTCAAATTAACTTTGTATTTATAGATCCAACAATTTCACTCATCTCAAAAATTAAAATATGTGAGCATTTTATACCACATCATGTGAGATGAAGGTCTATATTGATTTAAACTAAATTTATACTCTCCCTATCTATCTTTAGTGCTGTTTCAGTGTATTTCTTCCATCAACCACCTTAGCCACAGCTTAAAAGTTGACCAAAAAATTAGACCATTTCATAAAATTAAGAATGGTAAATTCTTCCATTTGAAAAGAATTAAACAGAAAAAGCATTAAAATAAAAGCCTGTGTCTGCAGAGCACCAGTTAATAATGTTTCTTCCTTTAAGCCTTTCCTGCAAGTACAGACCCATGTAGGTATGAATTTGTGAATATCTCTACTTTTTAGTTGACTGGTACAAAGAGTCACTGTATATGGTCATTTGGGCAGGACACTGCCCAATCCTAGCGATGCCATAGACAAGCTAGTGTTCAAGCAATATTTGAGTTACGCAAGCTACACTCTAATCATACTGTGATGGAGTTCTGTATTGCTCATTTCCTTACTTAACCTCCCCAAGTGATTTATCTTGCCACTTTAATGTCTCCAAACAATTATTTTAATAGTACCTAAGAATTATTGCTACACATAAACTATAATTTAGTCTCTAATTTAAGCAGCAAATGGTTTCCAACTTTTCATTACAATAAAGAATATAGCCATAAACACTACAGCATATTAAACACTGGGTAAAGAAAATGAACTCTCCCACTCTCATCAAACTGCTTTCTGGAACAGATAACTATAAAAGTATAGAAATTTAACTCTTTCACCCCTGGGAATTTTCATACATATTTTTTAAATCACTGCCAAATTGCAAAAAAAAAAAAATTGTTTTTAAATATTACTTTCTATCATCAAAATCACCAAATGAAAAAAAAAAGAAAAGAAAATTTTAATAATTTGTATTACTACTTTTGTAGGCACTATTAAAAAGCATGATTACAAACCTGGAGCCATAGAAACTTTGTTCTTCTCTTCCAAAATAATTTTCCCATCAAAACTCATAGCAGGCAGCATCCCCTGCTGAAAAAAGATTACATTCTCTTTTTTTAAACCAAAGTACTTGTGCTTTGTGAAGAATTCCTTTGTAGATTCCATTGTTCTGCCACTGGTCATTATATACCTTGCAAGAGAAAAGCAGATCTTCTAAGCAATAGCACTAAGTGCAGGGCACACAAATCAAAGGGCATCTATTTCCTACGCTAAAGAAAATTTGAGAGCCCTACTTCATGTTGGGCATGTCTTCAACCTTTTCCAAAATAAGGTGGCATCGGCTGCTCCCCAAAGGGAATTTTATCCAGTCACTTCATCAGTCTTTTTAAGTTAAGCTAAATCTATGCACCACTATTAAGCATACAGACTGCATGCAGTACCACAGAGATACTTTAACTATCTTACAGAAACATTTTAGAACTCTACAGAAATTGTATTCTAAACAAGAATACCTGTAAAACATTCTAATGTTTTTTTGTGATTCTTTATGTTAAAATTCTGAAATAGTATCTGGGCTCTGTTCTGAATCCATTAAAATCTTACAGTACAGGGGTCTCCTTGGTGCCCTTGGGTTAAGTCTCAGCACTATCAGCACTGTAGCTTGGGTTCAATCCCCAGCCAGAGAGCTAACACACATATGCTGCAATGGACCGCTCCTGACCCGCCCGCTGCTCCCCTCGGTAGAGTATTTTGGTAAATCTGCCTGTTCTGCTCCCCACTCTGTCTCTGCAAATCATCTCTGGCAAATTTTCTCACCCACCACACCTCTGGCCTACCTCCCAGTTCTTCTACATACAAGAAAAAAATCATAAAAGTGTAATTATACTCTCTGTTGTCACAAAAATCCAACCCATACCAGTGTGGCAAAGGAGAAAAAAAGATTCTCTCTAAAACTACAATTAGTGACTGCAATAGCTATTACCCTAGCTAGATCTCAACTACATGTAAGCAGAGATTGTTGTCAAATTATTTTAGCTACTGAGGCATCCCTAGCACCTCGAAGCAACAACTCAGCTTAATATGTACTGAATGCATACATAGAGAAATTATATCATTTCCCGTCACAGTAAATTACCTGTCTGTTGAACATATTATCCCAGGTACTTTGAATTTTGTTAAAGAAAAATATTTGGGCATAATTAGAAGATGACAAAAAAGGGGGGCTAACCTGTTCACATAAGAGGAGAACAGAAACTGAACTGTGAGGTGAAAGAGAAGAAAAGCCAACATGACAGGAAGAGACAGGGCTCTAATAGATGTTGGCCACTTAGAACACAGATCTCCCTCAGAAATCTCCATTGGAATCAAGATGAAAAAACAAGTCACAGCAGGCCAGTATTTGTGTGGAGAAGGGCTAGAAAAGCTGGGGAAATTACAAAAAGCCTATTTTTAAGGCTTCAGAGAGCTACAGAAGCAGTGGGGATGGAACGAAAATTCAAGACAGCAAGAATTTTCAGAGACTTCTAGGGCTATGCAGCTGCCTTTCCCTGGGGTGCCTGATGATTTGGAATACAAGCTATTGCACAGGAAGCAGGGCTTGGACCAGGCAGAGTTCAAAGATCCTCCTAACAGTTGAGAATTCAGCAATAAGTAGTTACCAAACATAATGCTTAAATAAAGCAGAGCTTTTGTTGGTCATTGGGGGCTGAGATAACAAGATTAGGGATGTGAGGGATCTCAAACACATGGCTGGCTTCCCGCTGAAAATATTCTTAAATAGCTAGAGCTAAAACTGTTAAAAAACAGAGCAGAATTTCTACAACCTCTTGTTTTTGGGAGACTCATGCTGGTCGAGGTAGCCCCTGAGAACTCAGTCTACAGTGATTGAGAATCTCCTCTATCCACAGCAAAAAAATGAGGAGGCACTTTCAGAAATGTGGGAGGAGTGGATTTTAGAGGCTGAGATCACGTGATACATAAGGACACAGGTTTCAGGATGCAGTGAACCCACTGGGCACTCAAAGCAGTGACTGAACACTAAGTCAAGCCACACTGCCATGAAATACCCAGCACTACATTAAAGACCCTGAAATCCTTTCAGAGGAGGATAAAAAAAAAAGGCTGAGGTATAAGTCAGACTGGTATAGAGTCTCTCCACAGCAATGGAGAAAATGAATAATTTCTTCATATTTCAGAAATTGATTTTCAATCAAAAATTCTACAAATTATCACTATGTAGCATCTAGACTGAGTGACTCTATTGACCATCCAACAGTATTCAAGTAGGAATGTAGAAATGGGAGCTGAGTGAAAAGCTACAGTGATTTAGTTAGAAAATCCATCACTTTTAATATATAGTATGCTAATCTCCAAAAAATCAGGAAATACTTTTGCTTATGAATAAAATGTTTGCTTATGAATATTATAAACTAACATATGTTTAAACACTCTTCCATGAGACATATCTTACCATGGAATGATGCATCTGTTGCCATGATATTTTTCAGCTAATTGTTGGAGCTTCAGAATACGTTCTGCTTGAATCTGGAAAAGAGTCTTGTGGGATGGTAAACCCACATCATACATTCCCTTGGGATATGCAACACCAAGTCTTGTCCCCTGACCACCAGCTAGAAGAAGAACTGCCACTTTATTCTGAGAAATCTGGAAAAGTCCTAGAAAAGGAAAAAAATCACAAGATTTATAATTACACATTTTAAGGACTGGATATACAAAGGCAGCAGTAAAAACTCACCCTCTGCATAAGAAATCAGGACTCTACAGAATTAAGGATGACATTCATGTTAACGAAAAACACTTTTAATATTAAAAATTATAATGTATACAACTCAACTAAACACCAAACACTGTATGATATATGCTTCTTGAATGAAATAATTTTTTCCCCAAAATGACTGGCAGGCAAGGATGATGAGATGTTTCAAATGTTTTGCAAGTACCTGACTACCTCTTAGATATGTTAAGTCAAGGAAAAGAATATAAGGAATCAAGGCTTCCGGATGAGTGATGACTCTGTTAAATTATCTGTAGCCTATATACCAACCAAAAATAATTAATTAATTAATGTACAAATACAGTAGACATTATCCTCTAGTAAATGTAAGGAAAAGCAGCCATCCTTTAGAAAAGCAGTATGGCACAACAGTTAAGGGGCCAGTTTCTGAAGTCAGATATCTGGTCTGGTCTAAAATCCAAAATCAACTGAATGAATTCAAGGATATGCCTACAAAGGACATTAGGAGACTGTGCAGTGATTGGAATGTTCTATATTTTGATTAAGGAAGATAGTTACATGGGTATATATATTTCTCAAAAACATTAAAACTAGTTCATTTTATTGTATGTAATTGTACTTCAATAAAAGTGTTTAAATGATATTTTTTAATGGGCCATGTAGAGTAGTTCAGAAGGTTGTGAGGCTCAGTTTTTGCTGCTGACTTGTTTCTGTCTGGAAGCCTCCAATTTCCACCAGTTGAACAGTAGTCACAAAATTATTTAACTAAGAAAAATTCAGGATGGATTTAAAAGCCAAATGCAAACAAATTCAACATTCTGGAAACTCAATTACCACCAAAAGCTGTAGAATCAGAAATTTTTAAGCATGTTCTAAAAAATGTCCCAAGAGAATTTTCTGGATACAGAAACCTTTTTTTAATACTATTTATTTTTTCATAAAGCATGTATGTTTTTGTTTTTCTGTTAATGTGGCTTTAGTCACTCTTTCCTGGTATCTATATGTTTCAGTCCAAAGTAAGTGATTTCCCTCAGCTATGCTACCCACAGAAAGTAAGAGAACACTCCCAATGCCAGCTCCGTATCTCGGATCTACTAACCTGACTGCCACCTAACACCAATCGGTGCTCTCCGCAGGTTCTAAATAGTTATCTAAGTATCACTGCATAAGCCCTTCTTCCTTGGATCAGATCCCTTCACTAACTTCATTCTGGTTTTCCAAATTTTTCTGTTTTGAAACTTTGGTGCTCATCAGCTCACAGTGGTATCATTCTTTATCAAATAAATGGCATGTTTGCTTTCTAAGTCCCTATCTGTCATATTTTCTTCAATTCAATTCATGATCGGTCACTTCAGAGCAGCACTGAAATAATGCCTGCCAGGTGTCCATTCCCAGGCAGCAGATCCAGATTTACATCTCATCTCCATTTAGCTACTACTATAACTTGAGCTATAACACAATCCATATATACTTGAAACGAAGTTTTCTACATTAACTCTTGCACATTACTCAGGAGCAGAGAGAAAAACAACAGGAAAGAAAGTAGTCCCTAGAGTATCAAGGCCAGCTGCAATTCAAGAACTAAATGTAGCTACAGCTGTTGTTAACAGATCAAATGTGTGTACACTGGCTGAAACACACCCATTCCATCTGTGTAACTACAGTAATATCTGTCTTACAATGATAGATAAAATAATGCTTGAAATTAAGTGTGCCAATAAAATTTGGTAAGCCTTTTTGTCATATGGCAAAATACATGATTTCAAACTGTTTGTGACAATATAAATTTTATATGGGCAGCAGCACGTCTATATGAAAAATGGTAACTAATTTTAAATATGCAAAACCCAAGTGAAATTAAGAAGTATGGCCTTCTTTTCCAAAATTTCTTCTGCAAAGAGGAAAACCTGAAAGTACAAGTGTATCAAAAAGTTGTGATAAATATTAAACAATGGAATGCTACTCAGCCATGGATGGAGCTGGAAGGGATTATGCTACCTGAAATTAGTCAAAAAGATAAATACCAGATGGTCTCAATTATATGTGCAAAAGGCCAAGAAAAAAGTCAAGGCTAGCAAGCTGACCACAGAACTGAGGCAAACAGCAAAGCAGGGGGCCAGAGCGGGCACAAAACAAGACAGGGATGAACAGTAGGGAATATGGTGAAGGTTCCCGGGCGATACAGTGGTGGGAGAACCATGGGGACTACACAATACAAGAAAAAAGTTAATTAAAAAAATTACCTTAAAAAAACCCTGAAAGTACCTCATTATATCATCTTTCACATCTTTACATCATATGACAAATGAGTTAATAACTTTTTTACAGATGGGACCTTAATTCAAGCCAAATCAAGGGTAAATTAATAAAAATCAGAATGAGCCTCTCCAGGGTGAAGTACATACATCTCCTCTAGAGGAGGATCCAACGAGCACTTCTCTTGACAACATTTATAAGAAGCAGAGTCAAGAATTTACAGCAGCATGTCATGAATCATATGCTTCCTGAATGATTTCCTGCTTGGACTAATTCCTCACCCACTCTTTGACTTGGGCCTGTACCTGAAGCAAGATGGATAGCAAAAGTGTAGCAAAAGTAGAGCAGTGCCAGAACTTTCCATTTAGGCTGTTGGACTCCACAAGAAGTGGGGTAAACAAGCAATTCAACCGTTAGAAATAAAAGACTACCCAAGTAGCCTTTAAAGGAGATACTTTAGTCAAAAGAGGTATTTTAGGTTTTTATTTTTTTTAAAGATTTATTTATTTGTGCATAAAAGAACTGGGGTACAGGCCAGAGGTAAGGGGGCGGGTGGTGTTGAGAGGATTCATAAGACAGGTTTTTATTTTTAATCACATTTTACAGTTGAAATAATTCTTTTGTATATTAATTATGTCCCCCAAATGTTAAGCACAGAAGAGCAGACAAATAAAGGAAATCTCCAGGTAAACCAGTTTTAGATACAATAGGTAAATTTAATAATGGTTTTGTGAGTGTAAAGAAAATGTCCTTAACTTAGAAATGCATATTAAATTAAATGAGGGTAGAAATAACATGTTTGAGATTTCCTTAAAATACTACAGCAAAGAAAAAGCAGAGTAAAACCTACCTAGAAAAACTTTGATCATCATTTAATCATTTAAGCATGCATTATACTATGTTTTAAAGATTTATTTCTTTATGCACACATAACTGGGGTACAGGCCAGAGGTGCAGGGGTGGTGAAAGGATTCACCAGAGACAGAGTGGGGAGCAGAAAAGGCAGATTAACTGAAACACACTGTTGAGGGGAGCAGCAGGCAGATCAGGAGTGCACCATGTGGATCACCTCCTGGCAGGGGATCTAAGCAACTGAGGCAGATGGGGCTTCCTTGCAGTGCTGAGTCCTATTATACTGTTTGTTTTTCCTGTAAATATTGATTCAAAATACACCTGAAATTTTCTGTACAAAAAAAATGTTTACTCAGGCTACAAAATTATACACAAAACAATCCCAATGTGTGTTTGCATGTATGTCAGAGAATACTACAAAACAGCATGAATCAGTATTTATCTCTGGGTTGTAACCTGAGGTGTTAAAATATCTATAATAAATAAATGTCTATTGTCATATCAATAGCCATGAACCACTTTGAAATTACTACATAATACTTTTATTTCCTTAATTTAAAAAAAGCAAACACTGCCTTTGATACAATTACTAGCATCTTTCTACTATCTGAAATATAGCATCATAATTGTGGCAATTGCAGTCTTTTTCCTTTGAGATCTTATTACAGAAATTTCATTTTGTAATGAATTTTCAAATACATGGCTAAGTGAAAAGACAATAATGTCAATTACAAAGTCTCCTCCACTCCTGCTATTATTAAAGACACAAATATTCCTTCAACAGTGAGCCAAAGGAAAGTGTACTTTGCACCTTCTTATACTTCACTTGGCTGTAATGGTTCTAGACTCTAGTTTAAATAAAAAGTCATACATGTAAACTAGTTTCACAAAATCCGGGGGAAAAAAAGACTCCAATTATAGGAGGTCTTGCTATTCACAGTTTGCCATTACATAAGGGCAAAGTTCTGGCTTTCCATAGGAGTTATTTCTAAGATTTCATCCCCTAAAGTCCCAAAGACAAAAAATGGCATCTTGGATACCTGAAGATAAGACACCCATGTATGTGGCTCTGGGCTTGGGAAGTAGCTTTTTTAAACCCAGGATTAATGAGCTCAAAGTTAGTAGCATGCAAAGTATCACTAAAGCCCTCATTCGCAGTCACCCTCTCACAGATTAGAAGCAGTGCTCCATTGTGAGAAAGAAGCTAGGTTAGCCACTTCCAGCACATTAGATCTGAAAGGACCCACCTCAAAAGTTATCCAATTATTTAATTTTCAACATGTTTTAAATAAAACTTCACCTCCCCATGAAGTTTATAAAGCAGGTGAGAGTAAGACTGATCCTATAGGAGGAGATGACAGGAATGGGAGACCTGCTTTTTTGGGGAGTTGCCCCTCTCTCGCAAGAAAGTGTCCCCAGCAGTGGAATCTCTTGGGTTCCTGAGACACAGTTTGAAAACTGGTAACTCCATACTTCAGAGAAAAAATATGGTGAGATCTACAAAAAGTTGAGAATGGCTATCTTTCTTTTTTTGGTTGGCGTTTAAGAGGAGAGTACAAGACAAAAAAGAAAAAGAAAATGGCCGTGATGTAATACACAAGATTATATATATAACATTACTGCACATCTATAAAAGTAAACGTGTATATTAACAGTGAAGTGGTAATGTGAATAAAAAGAGATTTGAGGAAGTTACAAGCAATTTCTACACAGTATTAGTAATTTTTTATATTTTTGCAATAAAGTAGTGTTTTAAAAAGGAAGGAAAAACACTAGTTCAGTCCGTTTATTTAAAGGCTGAGTAAACGACAAGTCTTAACAGGTTGACAAGAAGCAAGTATAATCATTCAAGGACCTGGGCTAAAATACCTTTTACTTACAGAGGAGGAGCAAGTTATAAAAACCACAGTCACATTTGATCTATTTTGCCACTCTCCCAAACACTAATACTAGTTATGGGGGCAGATTTTATCATATGTTTTAGAAGAAAAAGCACTGGGGCAATTCCACAAACACTTATTGACCACCTTACTATTATAACCCCCAAAGGCTAATGATATATACAACTAGGACCTGGGGGTGCTGGTGAAGAACTGACAATAGAAAATGAAAAAAAGATAGAAATAATTCTTACTATACGGTAACATGAAAGAAAAATATGGGAAAATACTTCCAACTTGTCATGGATCAGACCAAAAGAGGGCATGTAAGTTCTGCAAAAAGCAGAGCCACTGCCCTGCATAACTCCAGGAAACAGCATTGTAAGACTGCTGTGAAGTGACCAGGTAGACAGAGAAGGGGCAACAGCCAGGAGAGGCAGGAGAGGCATAAAATATTCAGAGACTGGTGAATTATTTGAACTGGCTGAAATGGTGGGTGGTAGAGGTAAAGAGAAAAGACAAGAAAATACAGGCCAGGGCCCTATTAGACAGGGTTTTTTTGTTTTGTTTTGTTTTTTTAAGATTTATTTATTTATGCTTACAGAACTTGGGTACAGGCCAGAGGTATGGTGGGTAAGAGGATTCACCAGAGACAGAGTGGGGAGCAGAACAGGCAGATGTACTGAAACACACTGCTGAGGGAAGCAGCGGGTTGGTCAGGAGAGGTCTGCCACACCAGACCTCTGGTGGATCAGCTCCCTGGCTGGGGATAGAACTTGTGCTGCAGAGCCTTTGGAGAGCTTCATAATGTGGTGCTTAAACCTGCTGAGCCACCAGGGAGAGCCCAGACAGGGTTTTAAAAAGTCAACATAAATTGAAATGTTTAACTTGTGCTTCTGAGACACCTAGCAGAAGCATGAAAATTGAGGAAGACATTAAAACCTGAATGACAAGAGAGTCTTGAATTAGGTGCCAGAAATAAAGAGGGGGTAATGTGGGAGACACTGCAAAAGTCTCAGCAACACACCGGTCACTTTCTTTTTTTGTTATCTAGTTTCAGACAGTACGAGAGTGAAAATATTACTAGTTTTACGTAATAATTTGTTGCCTCTCAGAATAAGCTTTAGAACAAATACCTTCACTTTCCCAGTCCTGGAGCTGGTCCTGATCCCTGGTAGCACTGCCCAACACCTCTCGAGGGACAGGTTCCATTCGTGCATCCACTTTTTCTTGCTGAGAAGACTGGTTAAATCCTTCGGTGGCCTTTTGGAAAAAGCAGTTGAGCTCCTCAAAGTTCATGGCCTGGAGCTCTGCATAAAGTTCTACCTGTTGGGATTCTTCCAACTCATTCCAGAAGTGCAGCAGGTGGTCTTGCCCAGCTTTGGACAACCTGAGTTTGAGGTCATTAGTGTTCATAATGTTCCGGTAGCCAAGCTTGGTGAAAACAGGACTTTAATTTCTGCACCAGTAAACCTAAGAGAAAAGGAATCAAGAGCAGGTCAAAGTCCAATCTCCAAACGCTAGGGTTTTCCTATTAAAAACAAGTATATTAAACACACTACATATTAAAGAAATTAACAACGTTAACAGTTCCTTTTCATCACAATGTCTTTAAGAAATCAAACATGTAAGATCACTATATCAGACACTGCAGTAATACTGTACCAACATGGTCTCATTTAATTTTTAACAGCTCTGTGACATAGAGCTGTTATCATTCCTTTGCACTGGAGGAAAATGAAGCACAAAAGACAAAGCAATTGGGTCCATCTGTGGAGCTGTGAATCCAAGCAGTCTGATCCCAGGCTCACTAACTGCATGTAGTCACCTTTGGACTATTCTGACTACTAAGCTACTACAGGAAGATATCTGACTGTTTAACATTTTATTGGTTTTTTTTTTATTCTCTTTAAGGATAAAACTATTTAGAACACAACAAAATTCAAGGAGACAGAACCATGTATTATCATGGAAAACTACTTCAAAGGCAATTCCTGCAAAGAAACAATAAAAACATGTCCATTATCTTCACTGAGAACTGCACCCTGAAAGATGTTAAAGGAACATAAACATATAACAATCAGTAGATAAAACAATAGTTTTAATAGCAAACCATGTCAAACATTTAATAGCAAAATGTCAAACAGCATAGCTCAAAAAAAGAGAAAGAAAATATTTAATCTAATTATAGATAAATGCAAGAGGAGACAGGTGTCATCTAGAGCGTTCACAAAGGAAGCATGCCCCAACTGTGCCTCAAGGCTGAACAGATTATATATATATATATATGATTAGGAAAACACACAGAGTGGGTGGTTATGAGGAGTGTAGATGTATGGGGTGCAAAGCAAGTAAAAAAAAAAAAATTCAAGTTTGGGACCTCCCTGGTGGCACAGTGGGTTAAAGCACAGCACTGAGAGGCTGAAGCCACTTCAGCATGAGTTCAATCTCCGCCCAGGAGGTGATCCACATGGTACGGAAGACCTCTTCTGACCCGCCCACTGCTCCCCTCAGCAGTGTACTTCATCAGTCTGTTCTGCTCCCCACTCTGTCTCTGGTGACTCCTCTCACCACCCCTGCACCTCTGGCCTGTACCCCTGTACCTCAGTTCTTATGAATAAATGAATAAATCTTTTTAAAAATGCAGGTTTATGCAGAAAAGGTATCATGTACTGGAAGTCTTAATCATCAGAAGTATTGTAAACTAACCCAGGGAACTGAAACCTAACAGAATAAGTAACAGGAAGTTAAGAGGGGATTACTCAAAAAGATAGTGTCATCATGCCTTAGAGAGATGAGAGAAAAGGGCAGTGGCATAAAACAGATCATAAGGAAGAGCAACTAAAAAACAAGTTAAAAGCATCTGCAGGTATGAAAAGTCAAAGGTCTGAATCAGAGTGGCTGCAGAGAAAATAAAAGTGAAAGGGGTCAATTTAAGGTTCTCATAGAGCATGGTCACCACACTGTAACTGCTAAGACAGAGAGGAGAGGCGGTTAGTGAAGAAACAGCCTATCTCCTCTCACCCAAAGAACAGTACAAGAAATAAAGGTGAAAGTACAGCTGAAACTGTAGAGTTCAGCCAAGTTGATTTCCTATGTATCAAATTACACACCTGTAAAGCAGGATTAGTAGGAGTATCATCAGGACTATTAAACACAAACACCATTTACCAACTCAAGTTAAGAGAACTGATATCCAAAGTTCCCTGAGGTGGCAATTACACCTACTGCTCACCTATCACCTATGGTGGTACATACAACACTAATGGCTTTAAAGTTACTTGTTAATTTAATCCTCAAAAAACTCTAAAGTTCTATTAGAATTACTTTACAGAAAAAGAAAATGAGATACAGAGGGAACTTGCCCAAAGTCCAAAACTAACAAAGTGATAAGGCTGGAATTCAAACCCCCACAACCTGGACTCCTAAATTCATACACTCTTAACCTATACTGTTCATCTAGGTGGTCTCTCAAGGAAAATAAAACTATGTCTCTGTGATTGTGTGGATAAAAGAGAGGGTGGCAAGAGAAAGAGAGAGACTCATATTACTCACACTTTATTCAGAAATACAGACATGAATGATGTTTCATTCTGACTCATTCTGCAGAAATGAATTCACAAGTCAGTAAGAAGGAAAAAGGAAGAAAACACACAGGACATGTGGGTGAGGGACTTTACAGGGTATATACTTCATTACTTTTTATTCTATCTCGTGCATGTCAACCAAATTAGAAATTTGTTAGAAATAACTTTAATTTGCAACCACTCAAAAACAAACTCAGAAAAGATATTATCTTACAACAGTGACAGGTATAGAGTGTCTGGCTATTTTTTCTTCAAATATGATGCTTTCCAAAACTGAAGTGACAAACTTTCTGAGTCTTCTTATAAAATAAATCTCCAATTAGATTAGCATGTAAAATTGTGTAATATATCCCATTTTCATTTTTGTTTTATCCTGGATATCTGAATATAGTATTCAGGGTTAGCATACATCAAGTGTAAAATGAATGATATTATCTTATAAAATACATCTTATGAGCTACCAATGACACAACCAAATTATATATGAAATGAAAATACAACATTATGTGCAGGACACAGTTCTAGCTTGTTGTCACCTAAGATACTCATTGATACATCCATGTCCTTTCTTTAATTTTTCTATCTTCTGAAATTCCACTCATCTTTAAAGACCTGCCTCTTCTACTTTAATTTGAAGCAAATCTTTGCAGGTTTTGGAATCAAATAGAACTTTTATTCCTGGCTCTATTGCTTGTGCCATGTCTCAAGTACTTTCAAACATAGTATCTTCACCTATAAAATGGGAATGATGACATTTTCTTTGCAAGGGTCAGAGGCAGAAATGAAAAAATCCTTACAACCAATGAGAAAATGGTTAAGCAATCTGCTCAAGGCTACATACCTAGTAAGTAGAAAAACAGGAACTGTAACACAGATGAACCTGACCCTAATGCCTATGAGCATTTCATACACCAATATCACTCATAAGAGCAGAGCAAACATTAAAAATCTGTCCAAGTCCTAATTTACAGAGAGGCTATATATACAGTGGCTGGTAACCAGCACTGGACTCTCAAGTCAGACTGGCTAGGTTTGGGACCCAGGGGTAAGGTGGGTACTGCAGGGAGCAACAAGGGGAGGGAGAAGCAACAATGGGAAGCCAGGTAGGGCCTATGAGAGACACTTTGAGACACAGCTGAATGAAAACAAGGCAATAACCTGGGAAGGAATGTTCTAGGAAGAAGAGGATATATGCAGGATATATCCGTCCCAGGACAGGATAGTACATGGGCATATAAGGAAGAGCAAAAAGATCAATGCAGCTGGAGCAGACACTGGTACAGAATGATGAGAATGATGGAGAAGTATACTGAAACCAGGTCAAGAAGGGTCAAGACAGAGACTCTGGGGCTTGCAAAGACTCCAAAGAATTTAGAGCAGGTGACTACAGTAGTGCAATTTGAGTTTTTAAGACTTACTACAGCTATGGCAAGGTGGGAGGAAAGATTTTAAGGAAGATCAAGGTAGAAGCAAGCAACCCTGTTATGGAACTCTCACAAGAGTCTAAACAAAAGATGATGGTGATTTAAAGTGGTGAAGTGCACTCACAAGGTTAACACAGAGGATTAGGTAATGGACTTACTGTGGAAAGAATAACATGAATCAAGCAAATATGACCTGAAATTGATGGTGCCATTTACTGAGGTGGGGCACCACCAGGAAAGGAGTAGATTTAAGGACATGCATGGAGAGTGGGAAAATTAATACTTAACTTTGGGCCATATTAAGTTTAAGATGCTTATTAGACATCCAAATCAAAATACTGATTAGATAGAAAAATGTAGTGCTCTAGAGTTCAGAAGGATCCTGGAACTAAAGGTAAAACTTTCAAGGTCGTCAGCACACAGATAAGTTTATAGGTTGAATGACATTCCCTAGAGTATAGATAAATACAAAAGCAAAGAAAATAGGAGATAGAACTATGGACATTCACTGGGGTATTTGTTGACTTACGTAGTTTCAAGAGCTAGGATGCCATTACTTCTGAAATTTAAAAAATACGTCATATAAAAAAAAAAGAAAGATCCACGCTAAACTTCTTTCCAAATAATGGGGTCTTTCTTAATGTCTCTTTCTACTACTACTTTTGTCCAATCTAAGGAAGTTTATAGTAGAGGGAAATTCAGCAAGGAACCAGGTAACTGAAGAAAAGGAAGTCCTGATTCTTGGACCCTTGCCATCTTTTCACCTCCCTTTGCACACATTTCCTTGTGCAGATAATATTACCAGCCTTTCTCATACATCCTTAAATAACAGTCTGGAATGGATATTTCTCTGCTTACTAAAAGTCATGTCAAACGTGTTATAACATTTTAAGATATAAATCAAAGTTTTCCCCAAAAGTGAACAGATGCTCAAGAAAAAGGATCCATGCAAATAATACCCCAAAGGAAACTCAAAGGTTAAGCTTTACTACCTGGGCACGGACCACAGGTGTCTGAAATGTTTGGCAAGGTCATGTGCTCATTTACATATCCCAAAAATGTTCACAACATAACCACGCTTGGGTTTCAGACAAGAATAATTTACCTGCCTTTTTTTTTTTTTTGAGGCAGATGTAGCCTCCACCTCCAAGCCACAAAAATTGTACCATTTCCATTTCTCCAATTAATTCTACCAAGAGGTGTGCCCTGTGTGTAATGGTACACAGTAGTGATTAACACAGTTAAAGTAGGATTTTTATTTTGATGACCAAAATTGAAAAAGCTGACAATCAGTCTAAAACTGATGACAGAGCCTGGTGTATACCCATAGCCTAATACATCTGTGTCAAAATCAAAGGCAAAGTTGGAAACAATCCACCACTGTCAAATACATGTTTATTAGATGTGTTGCTATTGTTTAAATAACAGTATTAAAGAAATAGAGTTTTTCTGCTCTGTTCCTGCTCCAACCTCTACTGCTAAATGTTTGTCCCCCAAAGTGATCAGTAAGCCTAGGAGTAGAGTTTCAAAAGAGTCTTGGAATTAAACCACAACCACTGAATCCTATAAATGGTTGGCAGCAAAGCCTATCAAATCCTTCATCCCAGCCGAGTGAGCCAACTCACTACTAGTGAGGGAACAGAAACTGCCCTCAGTGTCCTGCAAACTCTTTGGCCCATACATAGTAAATTTCATCTCAAAGTCCTTCAACGGATAACACTATAGAATGATATACACATATCACAGTATCTGATCTCAGATTTCACAGCCATGTACAATAAACACACATCAGGCCAAACTTCAGACAATCCATCAGGATGCCATATGGTCAGCTTACCTGCGCTCTCAATCTTCCAATCCATTCTTATACTGCCCAAACCAGGTGAAACCCAGAAATTTCAATCCTCCACTGACAGTATTAAATGAAAAATCGAAGTGGTTAAGTGGATTTTGTCCCACTCTCATGTGCGCACCGACTATCTCCTAGCTTTCTGGAGCACACTCTCAAAATTCTTTTTCTCATATATTCCAAACATCCCAACTTGCTCCCACCTGTCCTTATCAGAGGCCTCCAGCCTGTCCTCCCAGTCCACTGGACCCTGACCTGAGCACCTTGAGGTCCCTACCAGCCCCAAGGTGATATAGGTCTCCATTCCCCCCACTCCCTCCCTTCAGGTGAGACAGGTCTCTAATTCCCTGCGAGTGAAAAAAAAAAACCCTACCCTTCATCCAGGTAAGGCCAATACCCAAGACCCTAGTCTCTTTCCAGGTGAGACAGGCCTGTACCACCCCATCCAGGTAAGGCCAATCCCCAGGTGAGACAGGCCTGTACCACCCCATCCAGGTAAGGCCAATATCCAACACTAGACAACCCCCCCAAAACCCCCACCCCCCAAGCCCGCTTCCAGACATTATCCTACACTTTCTCCTTCCGAAGCCCCCGGTCCAGATACCCCCATCCCAGGATAGCCGGGGAAGAACCCCCGGGTCGTGGGTGTGCAGAGCCCGGCGCTGGGCGCATACGTGCGCCGCGTGTCCACGTCTGCGTGCGTTCCCATGGCCGCGTGTGCTCGGGCTCAGGCGCCCGGGCCGCCCCGGCCCCACGAACCCCACCCGGATGGGAGACAGGGGACAGTGACTGAAAGGGAGCCCCTCACCTCCCACGTCGCGACAGCTGCTCCGCCCGGCTCCGACTCCCTCGGCGCGGCCACTCATCGGCGTCCAGCGCCCGCTCTGAATATATACCCTCATTCGGGGGCCGGGGCGGCGGGGCGGGCCGGGAGCTGGGCCGGAGGAGCGCCGGTCCCGGCCACCCCGCCCCTCGGTCACTGCGTCGAGTGGCCGCCCGCGCGAGGTGGAGCTGAAACCGCCCGCCCGCGCGACACGTCAGCGCCGCGGGCGCCGGCGACCAGCGGCTCCTGAGGGGTGGGGCGAGCCCTTGTGTCAATCACTTCCAGACCAATAGGGATGGCGCCCGGAGCTCTCCGAGACACCCCATTCCGACGCAAGCTAGCGGGAGGGTGGGGCCGGGCCAGCGTGTCACTCATTCCCCGGCCCAATGAGGACGGCTCAGGGTGGGGGCCGTCACGGGCGCCCCGCCCCGCGGGGAGGGGGGAGCCTCAAATCCCTCTAGGCTGCGCGTAGTCGGACGAGGCTGACGTCACCGCCCTGTCCCGCTGGGTCCCGACCAAGCCTGGGCTCACCCATTCCGAGCAGCGGTCCGAGAAGTAGGCGGGGCCGTGACTCTGGGAGCATTTCCGCTGCCTGCGCACCCTGCTGTGGAAGAGATGGTGCAGCCCGGGGCCGCCCCAGGTTCTGGGACTAGAGCTAGTCAGCCCGTCTGCGGTTGGCGGGACGTCTGGGCAGGGCCGCCGGCTATCTTCTATCAGTGATGTGTCAGCTCCTAAGCGCGTGCAAGTGAAGCCAGACCCGTTACTTTTGCACAATCGGGCACGAAAACAGAAAACGCAAGCAAATGGTCGTGGGTCACCTGGGGTCACAGAGAGCGCAGTTAGCCAGCCCGGTGGCTGCCTATGCGACGGTGGACTTACCCTCCCAGACCACACCCACACGAAGATGGTGACTGGACTAGGTGGCCTTCAAGGTTCTGCAGACCAGTATGTCTTGTCTGCGGAGCACCTGTTATATAACTTCGTGTGGACAAGCACACCCAGGTTTTGCTAGTATGCAAAGTTTGTATTTAACTTTTAAATATTTACATTACATTACACTTTGTATCGTTTTGGAAGGTCAGTATGTTGAGAAAACAAAACCAGCTACATTTATCATGGCAATTTACACAAAAAATTTCAGGCATGTTTGTGCCTTTCTTCTGCAAAGGTTTCTTCATCTCCTGTATCAATTGTAGAACCACCCACCAGCATCATGCTTATATTTCCAGATTCGGGAAGTGAAGGTTGAATACTCCCCATGTTACATGAACCCATAACTTTTATCTATTTGAAAGATGTATAGTGCAGTGGTTTAAAACGTAGGATATAAATTTCAGTGTCTTTACTGCTCTGAGCTTTGGTATTTAACTTACTTTTATACATCAGATTTCTCATTTTTTATACATCGGACAATTATAAAAATGTCTTTAGGATTGTTACAAGGATTCAACCAGTCAATACAAGTGAAGACTACAGAACAGAATAATAATTTTTAATTATTGTTATTTGAGTGCTTACAGTATTATCAGGCAATGTTCCAGGTCCTGAATATCTTGGTACAATTTTCATCATCTGGAAAGTCTTTGTAGTTTGAATCTCTTATGGTTCTCTTAAGGAACATTGCTCTAAAATCTTTACTGATAATAGCCTCCCTAGTGGCACAAGAGGTTAAGTCTCGGGGTATGAAGCTATCCACAGCATGATTTGGATCCCTGGCCAGGGAGGTAATCCAAAGGGCACAGCAGACCTCTCCTCTCAAAACGCTGCTTTCCACAGCAGTGTACTTCAGTCAATATGCCTATTCTGCTCCCCACTTCCCCAACACTGCACCTCTGGCCTACACCCAACTCTTGTATGCATAATGATCTTTAAAAATATAAAATCTTTCCTAATAATATATATATCCCACTTAAAGACCCTAAAAACTGACCCCCAAAGATGAAACAATATAACTTTTTTTTAAAGATTTATTTATTTATGTACAAGCCAGAAGTGTGGGGGGTGAGAGGATTCACCAGAGACAGAAAGGGGAACAGAACAGGCAAAGACACAAAGTACTCTGCTGAAGGGAGCAGCAGACAGGTCAGGAGAGGTCTGCCGGCCATGTGGTTCACCTCCAGGGCAGGGATCGAACTCATGCTGAAGTGGCTTTAGCTTCCTAGAGCTGTGCTTTAACCTGCTGTGCTACCAGGGAGGGCCCAAAACAATATAATTTTAATGAAGGGAAGAGAGCTTAAGACAGTTACTTATTGTTACTCTCTCTACTTTCCAGGAAAGAAGTATATACTAAAGAGAAGAAAAATTCAAACTGGAGACCCAGACTGAAAATTGCAGTTCAACCCCCTACAAGTTATGTGTCATTTAACCTCATTAAATTCTAATTTTTTCCTTTATATAATGAGGATAACACCTACTTCATATGGATATAGTAAAAGTTAAATGAGAAACAATAAGATGATGTCTGGACTTTGACAGATATTCTATAAATTTGAATGAAAGAATAAAAAACAATCATTATTTTTTTTTT